ATTCCCGGCTCTGGGGTGCAGGCAGTGGTGGGGACCGTGTGCTCCTGCCTGAACCCTGCACCCTCGTGAGCTGAGCTCACTGAAAATGCATCCAGAGTTTTCCATGTACTTGGGACTTCGCAGCTGGGATGCTTCAGCTTTCAGCTTTCATCTGCTCAAGGCTGCTAGAAAGTTGTATGTGCATGTACATACATGATTATATAGGTTTGAATGGTGATTCAGGAGCACGCGTGCGTTTCCAGGCCTGTAAGAGATGCCAGCGTTGGAACTAGATGATCTTTAAGGTTCCTTCCAACCCAAATTGTTCTGTGATGGGGGATGCAGGGGAGTGAAGCATTTGTGGGTATCCCCCACAGCTTTCTGGAGCTGTCAGGTTGGCTTTTGGGAGGGGCAGGGATTGCTATTTCTGGCAGCAGGAAAGTGCACAGGCAGGGATGGGGCTGTCATTTGCTCTGGTGTTGTGACAGGAGCTGACTGTCTCTTGTTTAAACGGGTGGGTGAAGTCAAGAAGGGTGTTTTGAAGCTGATATAAGACAGTGTGTGATTGAGGAGCTGAGCTGGGTCCCATCTAGAGAATCAGTGCAATGTTGGGAAGCTCAGTCCTGGGGGAAGGAGCAAGTCTCTGCTGGTGGCTGGTCTGTCCTGGCTGTGTCTGAGCAGTGTTCGAGGGGGCAGAGAGGGTTCCATGCTCTGTTCTAATCAAATCTCTATGTCCTGAGGTTCTGCTCTGCTTCCCCCATCCAAACTCTGCTGAAATGCTTTAAAGAGCCCCCCCAGCACTGCCAGAGACAATCCGTGCCATCTGCTGACCTTAATTTCTATCAGGAACAGGTAAATGATTTGTAGCCAGAGGGATGGGTAAAATGGCCAAAGCAGAATGACTCATTTTACCCACTGTGGTCAAACACGTTGGCTTTGTCACTGCGCTGGTGACACACCAAGGACAGTGTCACCGTGTGGTGCACAGAGGGGCTGGGAAAAGGGGGGGCTTGAAGGTCAGAGCTGGACCCAGACCCGTCAAACAGGGTGTTTTTGTGGTTTTGCTTCATTCCCACTCTGAGATGGTGGATGCAGGTGTCCAAAGAGCCTGGCAAAAAGCAGGATGATGGTTGGAAATGGCCCTCCCCAGCAGGCAGGGCTTGGGGTGATGAGGTCTTACTTTGACCAAAGGAGTGCCAAGCTTTTGACCTTTAAGCTGGAGAAGTGAACTGCCTTGGTGCTGGTTTAGAAAGCAAGCTCTCCCCGTTGGGGCATGGTGGGCACCAGCGAGCAGGAGCTGTGAGGAGCCACTCCTGAAAGGTGATGCAATGCTCTTGTGTCCAAGGAGCCTGTTGCTCCTTGTGTGAGCGAGGGCACGAGCCACTAATGCAGGAGAAATCAGCTCTTTGAGGGACCTTCCACAAGGTTTAAGCTCTCGTAAGAGAGGGAAGACTGAGTCTGAGGGCTTAAGCTCTGTAAACCCCTTGAATTTGTGCTTTGAGTGCTCCGTCCCTATTTGTGATGATGGGTGGGTGTCTAACGGGTAATAAAGTAAGAAGCCAAACTAGATGTGATACAAATGCACTTGTCTCAATGTCATCTTTCAAACTCAGCATGAAACTGAATTCTTGGCAAGCTGTGTCCTTATTGATCTTAGCGCTATGAGCTGCATAGGTTCATTGGTCTTGTCAAATTCTGAGATTAATCATTATAGCCTGTTATATCAGACTTTTCCTCATCCTTTTTAATTGCATGCAGTAGTTTTCATTGTCTTTAATCACTGGGCCATGCTGTTAAATAGCTGCTGCTCTATTAGACCTGTTTCTGTGGTCAGCAGTGTGGTTGCTTAGTACTCTCCCCTTACCTCTTAATGGAGTTGTGTAGTTTTCCTTTGTGTTTTCAAAGCAATATGAAAAGTTTAGATAGAAGCTTGGCTAAAAGGCCAGAAGATGCTTATTCGTTCCTCCTTTGATTGCTGAAAGCCTCACTAAAGGAAAGAATCAAGTGACTGTGACTCACACAGTCATCAGGACGTGTATATATGGCCACTAATATTTTTGGATGCAGAGGAAAATGCCCTCAGCAGAACAAACTGCTAATATACAGCAGCTGGTCCTTTGTGAAGCCAAATTCTAATGCCACATTACTCCCATCAGTCAGCTTGGGATTTGGGGCTTTCAAGAAAGACCTAAACAAAAATAGCATCTGAATTGCCAGCTTTGAAATGGTGTGGGTTTACAGAGGCTTCCGAGCTGGCAAACGGGGGTTTCTATCATGTGGCAAATGTTAGTGGTCCAAGTGCACAGAATGTATGTTATATAAATAATGCAGCAGCAGAGTTTGGTGTATTCGCTCTGCTTTCTGCAGGGAAGCCTCAAGCATTATCTTGACCCAAATTGTACATGTAAATCCAAGAAATAACTCTTCTGCTGCTCTTAAAAGAGCTGTAAAGAAAGTCTTGGCTTTGAGAACACCAGCGTTCCTTTTTATTCGAGAAGAGAAGAAAGCATTGGAAAATACACTTCCTCTGCTGTACACTGTGATGCTGATTCATGTGGGATTGTTTAGAACAGAGGAGGTGATCCTCTTCCCACACCTCTGCAGCAACCAAAGGACTGCAGGGTCAGCTTAAACCATCACTGCTTCAGCCATACCCTGCTACAAACAGTGATGTTAATGGATGGGTGCTCTGAGGAAATCACCACCGCTGCTTCTGTTGCTGCTGTTGTTCAGTTTTATTCGTTTTCTTTTATTAGACAACTGCTTTCCATTATAAATAAATAAGGCATGAAGGTTCTCCATACTGTTACAGAGCTGGCAGCCACGGTCGTGCATACAGCTCCTGATGCTGCTCGAGTTTGGGGCCATGGGGCACCTGAAAATGCAGAGCGTGGAAGAGCAGAGTGGAGGGTGGATGGAGGAGGAGACCTCTGGAGTGGGCATGGTTTGGGCATTGCACTCCTGCCAACTTACCTCCGTGGTTCTCACTTTAACACAAGAGGGTGTTTTGGGGGGTATTTTTGCATTATTTCCGTGGTGAGTGAAAGGAAGGTGGCTCCTCATAACATCAAGGCCCTAGACTGGAGGATAACTACATTTTAAGAGTCTTTCCCACTCCAAAGCTGCATTCTCATTTATTCATCTCAGGGTTGCAGAATTCCCAACCATTCACCCCAGGTTTTGGGATGTAAGCTGGTGAAAACAGAACCCAAATCGTGCCTGAAGCTTCTCCAGGCAGGTACAGAATAGGTAGCTTACACTGAACTCTTGATTTTTGTGGCTCTATGCTCAGGGTGTTGACTAAACTGTAGTGAAATGCTGCTTCTCTGCCTAAAACGTGTGTCTGACCATACAAGGTTCGTGAACAATGGAAACTGGTGATTCCTGAGACTGCCGTGGCCTTTTGACCGTGTGTTTGCATGTCTGTGGAAGCAAAAGTGAGGAGATTTCAGTGCTGGGAAGTGAACGTGAGAGGTGACAACCTTTGGAGGCAGGATCTCAGCCAAAAAAGGTGATTTCCAGCAGAAACCCTGAAATCTGCCCTCTCGACTGGGAAGATGTTCAGAGCAAAAGTGGGGGGTAATGTGTGGTCAGTGCTACTGCCAGGACCAGAGCTCCTGGCGCTGTGGGATGCTTTATCCTCCTGGGAGTCAGTTCTGCAAGCCCCTGCAAGCTGTGTTTAAGGAGTTTGCTACAATGGGGCAATGGCAGCCTCTTGAAGAGCACAGCACAGAGGGCTGCTACCCAGACCATGGGATGAAAGCGTGTCTCTGATACTGTAATAGCACTTCTTGTCTAGCTTATGGGAAAGCCCTGGTCATCAAGTTCCTACCAGGCACAGTGCTTCACCTGGGCTGAAATAGTGGGGCAAGTGTAAAGCGGGGAAATCCCCTGTGCCTACAAAGTCTGGAGGGTGTGGACTGAAACACTACGCGATGCTGATGAAGACAGAACAATCATCTGTTTCTCTTCAAGTTTTTCCGGTTGCAATGAGCTTGCATTGTAAAATAGCTGAAAAACCTGGCTGGTAAAGAGAAATGGCTTCAATAGCAAGAACATACTGCCCTTTGGGGAAGGGGAAGGCGTAGACGGAGCTCTCTTGGGTACAAGCATAGGTTCTTAGCCATAAAACCAAACTGGGCCAGCGTGCTGCAGCAGCCCCCGGGGTTCTGATGGCTTTTGGTTTGACTTTGAAAGGCTTCAGCTGTGGCAGGATGCTGGAGGACATCCAGGCTTTTGCTCGCAGATAACTGGGCTGTAAGACAAGCTGGAAAGGGTGGAGGAGGTGATCCGTGTTCTTTGTGGTGTGGTTTGCTGTGGTGATGGCTGGCAGCGGCAGTAACTCATGCAGAGATCCGTCGTACAGTTTCTGGAATCCTCTAACTACAATGTACAATTGTCCCAACGCGTTGTCCAGAGCTTCCATAAAGAGAATTGAGTCTCTGTGACGTTGCCTTGCTTGTAGACCTCTCAAACCTTCAAAGCAGAGGGGCCACGTGGCGTTTCCTGGGGCTTGAAGAGAAGACGTGGCTGTTGGGTTGCACGTGGGACTTGTGGAGAGCTCATTTGCTGCTCTTGTTTTTCACCTTCGTGGCGTTGATGTCTGCTTTTGTTTTCTGGATGCGGGAGAAGATCTCCTTAAAGAGAGCCTTGTACTCGGGCTGGCTCTGCTCCAGCCGCTTGTCCACAGCCTCCACGTGTTTGCTGATGGTCTTCTCCATGGTTTTCCGCTCTTCAAACTCGTGTCCCTCTCCTCGGAAGTCTCTGAAGGAGCTGTCGCGGGAGATGGGCCGGGACGTTTGGACCCCTGTGTGGCGCACGCTGTCCTTGTGCTGCCGGCATTTGCTCAGGAGCTCTTCATACTTTTCCAGCAAGGCATGGTACTGCTCATCCACCTCCCTCAGGATGGACATGCCCCTCTTGCGCACGTTGTTGGCGTGCAACGTGTAGTTGCCCTCGTGCCGGCTCACGGCGTCCTTGGTGACGATGGCGTTGAGGGCAGTGTCGCTGCAGCTCTTCCGCACAGGGTGGTTTGGGGAAGGTGTCATGGATGGCCCGTGCCCTTTTCCTCCCTCCTCCTCGGAGAGGTCAATGTAGTCAGCTTCTGGGGCGTTATTCAGCGGCTCAAGGAGGGCCTCGGATAAGTTGTCTTCTCTGCTGAGCAAATACTTCTTGACTTGTTTCATCTGTTGTAGCTCCAGGAGCTCTGCTTCCAGTTCCTTGATGCGCAGTTTGCAGTTCTCCATCTCGCACACCCGCTGCTCCAGGTCCGAGTACTCCTGAATAACAGAGGTGTATTCCCGCTCAACCCTCTCCTTCCGCTGCTTCTCCTGGTTGACTTGGGACCTGAGGGAGTTCACCATGGCTTGGAGACGTTCGTTCTCCCTCTCCAGTGGCTTCTGGTTGAACTCTGTGGAAGAGCTGTGGATCTGGAATCCATCCTCATACCTGAAAGGGAAGAAAGACCCTTGACAGTGTCTGACCAGGTGACAGTCCATGAGGGACTCCTTGTGTCCTATTGTCATTAAGTGATTCCACTGATGCCCAGGGCAAACCTGAGCTCAGGGAGCGAGATACGCCTCTTCCATGTGCCAGGAGACCACAAGGTGTGGCTGGGGCTCTTCTGCACACAGAGACCAGTCTCTGTCCCAGAGAACCCGCAGTCTCATTTGATAGCAGTGATCAAAGACAGGAGGGAAATGAAACCCTAAAAGGTAAAAGACTCATCTGGTTAATGGACAAGCCACCAATGTTGCCATGAAGCAACGATGAGTGTTCAAGTTCCACCAGTCTGAGCTGAAAATAGGAGGCTTTCAGTGTTTCCTGCTGCAGTTCATCAGCTACTCACTGCATGGAGTTCACCAACTACTCGCTGCATCTGCCAACAACCTCAAACCCCAACTAGCCAAAACCCAGACACACAAGGCTCTGCTGTCCTGTGTCTGGGAGGTGCTCCAGAGAGAGTGGGAGAGGATTCAAACGGGAAAGGAGGCAGGTAGCGACTTTAGCCGTGGTTGAGTTGCCCCTTCTTTATTGCCTGGGGAGTGGTAACAAGCACTTCCCCCTTTCCTCACCTTCTCCTCCTCCTCAATGAAGTGCCCCTGACATCCTATGTGGTTAGAACAGATTGGAGAAGAGCAAGCACCGTGGCCTCCCCTGGGAGTGGCGGGGGGTACTGAACAGATTCCCAAGTTATGGAAGGGCAGTCTGACCTTCAGAGCCAACTGCAGAGCTGCAACTGAACTGAGGTCCTGAGGCACTGGAGGTATAGTGGGACTTGGGAACTGGAGGGGGAAAGAACCACAGAGACATGGAGTGGATTTTGCTGGGGGTTAGGTTGTGGCCTCATAAACAGCCCCATTGCTGCTGCAGTACAAGTGTCTTTTATTCCTACCCTCTGGCAGAGGATGCTGTCAGTAACAAGTTTATCGATTGCTTATCTATTTAAAGAAGCCTCTATTGTGGACAAAGCTGAGCAAGAAATGCCCTCATGAGGTCACTGAATGAACACAGTGCCTGGGTTTAAGGAGGATCAAGCGTGCAATAGCACTGAAGGTGTTTGTACAGCACTCGGCAGTTCGTGGTGTATCTTGGTGTGAGACTGCTGCTCCTGGGGGAGTCACACAGGACCAAATGCACCATCTCAACTGGTTTCAGTGAGCCAGAGATGCTGGTTCTGTGCTGGGGGGGAGCTGCAAAGGGAAAACGGGCTGTGCTGGTGTGGGAAGGGAAGCTGTGTGGGCAGCTCGAGGTAAGGGTCCTCTTCACATGATGCGTTACTGAAAGGGCTGTATGAGGAGAGGCTGCTTTGAGCTACCTGGAGCCAAAGCGATGTGTCCTTGTCAGGTGTGTGTTCCCACACAGCTCCTTGCCAACGTGCCAGGAGAGTCCCAGCCCCTCCAGGCAATGCCTGTCCCCTGCAGCCTGGCTCAGTGCAGCTGTGTGAGGCACCCAGGTCCTCCTACATAGCTACTGCCCTCTTCAAAAGAGCTTTATCTCCCCATTCGAGGCATCACTGATGCTGTGATCATGAAGGCTCTGCTTTGCCAATGCCACCTGCACAGACAGGCAGGTAGGAGAGAGGGAGGTTCTTCCTTCACCTCCAGCACTGAGTTTCAGGTTCTGAGGCCTGGAGGGGTGCATGTGGGGTTTTGTGCACCCCCAGAGGATCTAACCCACTGCACCCCCTGTTCACAGGCAGAGGAGGTGGGGGAGAAGGTTGGCAGGGTTGCTACAGGCAGGGTCCATACCTGGGGCTGGAGCACAGCTCCTTAAGGCAGGGGAAGGTGTGGATGGTTCCCCGCCGAATGCGGAGCTGCTCCAGGCTCCTCATCTCCTCCACCTGCTTCTGCAGCTCCTCCACTTGGTTCTGCAGCCCCTCGATTGTTTCTGTCAAGCTACAGAGAGAGGAGGGAGCACGGGTGAGGAGTCGGTGTTTTCCCTATAGAGAAAGCCAGTCTAGGGGAGGTGCTTCCAGTTTCTAGCATGTGCCCTGGGAGCATGGTAGTGCTTGGTGTTCATGGCAGTGGTTGGCTTTTATCTGTGTGATCTCACTTGAATGGGGGTGTTTGCTTTAATCCCCCACATTTTTCTACAGTGGCAAGGAATTGTGCTAATTTGAGACCCTCTGTCCTCAAACCAGCTGGCTGAAGTCACCTCTGGGACATGAGCACTATCCTGGAATATCTCTGCACTAAAAGCAATTTACTCTCTTCCTCTTGTGTTTCATGTAGAGATAAACACAGAGAGACCAAGCAGAGATTTAGTTGTGTTCTGGCTGTGAATGCAGTTTGTAAAACTCCCTCTCAGCACAGCTGTCTGCAGAAGATGCTGCATTACAAGGACATGGCTTAGTCTGTTGTTTCCAGGGATGACCTTGATCATGGGGCTTGTTTTAGGAAAGAAGTATTATTGATAAACTGGTGTTTCAGCATGGACTAGCCAGGGTTTCATTAGATGCTGGATCTGTGCCTAGTGTTGCTGCTGGGCTGTGTGCTGGGGCCCTCCCTGATACCATTATGTGCCTCTTCTTCAAGGAAACACATCGGAGGAGAAGCTGCCATGGCTCCCTCCTGGCAGCTTCAGACACTACTTTATCCAGCCCTTGTCCCAGAGGCGTCTGTGCTGTGGTTGACCTCTGCTAACCAGCATCAGTGCAACAAGCTTGTGTTGTAAATAGCTGTAAAACCTGACTGATAAGAGAGTGGCTTCAATAGCAAGGACACGCTGCGCTTTGGGGCAGGAGAAAGGGGAGATGAAGGTCTTTTGGGCACAAGTATTGCTGCAGAGGGAGGAGGGGAGGCTGTACCACTGTATCTTCTGTTGGGATGTCTTGCTTTCCAGCACGAGCTTCTGGTTAGCCAGCTCCAGGTCCCGTGCTGTCAGGTCCAGCTGCTCATAGACTTTTGCATGCTGTTCATTCATCTGCCGCAACATCTCCAGTTGCTTGGTCAGGTACTGCAGGAAAAAGCCGAACAGAAACACTCCACATCCCAAATCCGGGTTGTTTCCCAGGCAGAAATCCCTACAGCCCTTGCTCCCTCTGATAGTGTGTTCTGTGGCTGATTTACCCTCTGGTAGTGTGTTCTGTGGCTGATTTATCCTCCGCCTGGTTCAGATATTCATACCCTCTGCTCCCTGTGAATAGTTCTGAGTCTAAAACACGACTGAACTTCCCCTGCCCTCTGTGAAGGGCACTAACCTCAGTCTCTGTTCAGCTGCTCTTTTCTTCCCAGTACCCACAGAAAGCTGACACCCCTGGGACCATGACCCTTCACTGCCGTTGACTGAATCTGGCCCGTTGGTTACTGGATCCTCTGACAGATCGATTGCAGGAGCTGCAATTCCTTGGGAATTCAGGCGAAAGCTCTGAGTCTGTGAAATGTGAGACCTGCAGCTCCCGTGTGTGTGCAGAGCCTTTGCTGTGAGCCTGCCACTGCAAGCAGAGCTTTCCTCCTGCAAAGACTGGGAGAGGAGCATCACTCTCAGCTGGGGCCAGATCCCAAATCCTACAGTGATTGTGCTTCTGAAGGGTGCTGGAGGGGATGGCTAAATCCATCCACCAGTGTCCTCAGGCATCAGCTGTCAGATCCCTGCAGCCGCCCTGTGCTGCTCTTATCACAGAATCACAGACTGGTTTGGGGTGGAAAGGACCTTAAGATCATCCAGCTCCAACCCCCGGCCATGGGCAGGGACACCTCACACTAGACCATGTCACCCGAGGCTCTGTCCAACCTGGCCTTGAACACTGCCAGGGATGGGGCATTCACCACTTCTCTGGGCACCCTGTGCCAGCACCTCAGCACCCTCACAGTAAAGAACTTCTTCGTTATATCTAACCTGAACTTCCCCTGTTTTAGTTTAAATCCATCACCCCTTGTCCTACCACTCCAGCCCCTGATGAAGGTCCCATCTCCAGCATCCTTGTAGCCCCCTTCAGACACTGGAAGCTGCTCTGAGGTCACCACACAGCTTCTCTTCTGCAGGCTGAACAGCTCCGACTCACAGCCCTGCCCTGTGTCCTTTTAAATCAGGGGGGTTCCAAGCTTTTTTAACTCACAGATCCCTAGAAGTTTTCCAGTGGATGAAAAACCTCTTGGCACAGCAGGTTTAAGCCTCCAAGATCACTTCTGTGGGCTCTTAGAAATACTGCCCTGACCCCAAAGGATGCTTGAAACAGTGGTTTAGATTGCAGCTCCTGCAGAAAGAGCTATTTTATGCCTCTAACAAAAGGGGCTGTGTTATGGGGGTGCCCAGGGGCCAGCTGGGAACAAACGTGATTATGAATAACTGGAACGAAGGGAAAGCTGCAGCAGAGCAAAGGGAAAGGAGTGTGGAGGCTGGTGGATGGGCAGGGGAAGGCCAGATGTGACCCAGATGCAACCTGGTGCCAAATTCTGGTGTGCACATCTGGGCAGGGGGTGAGGATGTGGTAATCGGGAAAATAGTAGTTAGGGGGGGAAAGGGACCCTCTCCAGGGCCAGGGTGAGCTCAACCAGACCTTAATCCATCCCACTTCAGGCACGTAGAGAAGATACTTTTAACTCCCATGCCTTTAGGTGACAGCAGTGACTGAGCAGCTCCATCCCCACCCCTGTCCCAGCTGTGTCCCTACCTCAATTTCCTGCACTTGCTCCTCGTTGGTGGCATACATCTGCTGCAGGGAGTCCTCCAGCTCCTTGTTACGTTCCAGCAGCGTCTTCCCCAGCTCTGCGGCCAAATGCAAGTCTGGAAAGCAAGATGGGACAAAGCTGCTGCGGTTCCTGTGGCTCCCCAAACGCCACCACATCAAATACAGGAATGCTTTGCATGGCACTGGTTTTATTGGCAGGTTTTGACATGGATGCATACTTATGGGACAGGCAGGACCTGGCCTCTGCCATCTTTCTGGGCTGCAGGAGCAAGGGAAGGCTGAGCTCAGGGCATCCTTCATGCAGTGATCTGGTGCCTGGCTGGCTGCATAACCCCTCTGCACTGCACACTGCATAGCCAGGGTCAGGCCCATGGGGCTTGGCTGTTGCAGGTGCTCAGCACCTCCATCCTCCATATCACCGAAACCTGTAGGGCTGGAAAGGGCTCAGCACCTATCAGAATGAAAGCCTTGGGGATGCTCTGTAAATGCTATTATTATCTCTAGTGAATGGAGTGCCTTGCCTTTGCCATCAGCCTCCATCCATCGCTGCTGATGGACTGACACGAGCAATACAACCATGTGTGGCCCCAAGGGCTGGCAGCATCTCCCACTGCGTGGGCAGTGCTGCTGGGGCTCTTTCCTTGGGGCAGCTCCAGGGGGAGGACAAACCACTTTATGTTCGCTCCCTGCCACCTCTAAACACCCTTTGGAAGCTATTGAAATAGTTGGACTTTAGAAGTGCAGTGGCAAAGAGATGACAATGCGGTCGGCTTAAAACACTGGGTTTGCTGCTTCCTGGGTAAAGAAAAAGCCTCAGGACCCTGTGAGTCTTGTATTGGCCAAAGCTTGAGCACATCAGGTGGTGCTGTTTGTGGGCCTGGGATGGCTCAGCTGGCTCTGATAACATCGCTTTGCTCTCACAGAAACTGCTTGTCTTCTTAAAGCCTAACCTATGAGCATGTGGGTTTCTCTTTTTCCTGGTTCTTTTAGAGGTGAATTTCTAGGTCTTACAGTAGCAGCCTGAAAAGCTGACCTCCAGAAAGGTAAGGCAAAAAGTGCTGGTGTGTGTTCCCCTCTCTGGTGTGGTTATTATGCAGTTTCAGATACTTAAGGAGTGGTAATCCTGCAGTGTGTGAGGGGACCTGGGTCTCCTGCCCTGGCCTTTTCTCAGCCCGTCAGTGCTCCTCTAGTTTGCAGCCAGTTATGTTTTGTAGAGGCTCTGCCATGGCTAAGAGCAGCTGTAATTTCTTCTGGGGGTTGATTTGGCCATGCATTTCATTGGGAAAGAGGGACACTTGGTCACTAAGGCAAGAAGAAAGGGAATCAGGATGCTTAGAATGTATTCTGAGCCTGGGAAATCACTGATCTCTCACACTTCAAATGGCACATCACAAACTGAGGCTCACACTGACCTCTTGGACACGAGTCCTCGCTGGGACGAGTGTTATTAGTGCTGTCAGTGTTTGGGACGGGGCTTTCCTGATGGATAACACTGTGCTGTTGGAAGTGCTGATGTGTTATTAGTTTGGGTGATGCCCATGTTCCTTTCCATGTGGCTCCAGTGGTGCGGGAGGGCTGGCTCCCAGATGTGCTCCAGCCAGCAGCTGCTCAGTGTGCCCTGAATCTCCCCTTTACCATGCGCATGTGCTCTCCAGCTGTGGCCCACATTGCAGGGTGTTATTCTAGGCTGTGACCTTCTTAATTGTAATCCCCATCGTTGCACAGTGACCTGGCCTGAGGGTCGCAGCTATCAATGCAATCGACATTGGCACATTTCCCCATGGACTTTCCCACCTATTTTCTTCTACCAAACGCTAAATTTCCCCTGTTTCCAAAGTGCCCTTGGGAGACTGAGTGTTTGCTACACCAGCTGGGGACAGGGAACAGCCAGATGCCACCAGAGAGGGAGGACAATGTGTGCCTTTAAGCTGCTTGGGGCTGTATTTAATGGCACCACCATTAAATCACTTGCCACATCACTTTGCCAGAGCTGGTGGTGTTGCTGGAGACCAGCGTGTTGCAAGTCACATCCCTTGCAGCAAGCAGGGCCCCAGCACAGAGGACTCTGTGCTGCACTCCAGGTAATGAGTCAAGTGTGTCCCCGTCCCTGTGGATTACACCAGTGCTCTCCCACCATATGGCATCCAATTTAATCAGCTGGGGTTGAGTTAAGTGGATTAGGCAGTGCAAGATCCTGCATTGTAATTTAAAGGGCTCTGTCAGCAATAATTTAATGGGGGAAAATGGGCAGCGTTTGGGGACGGGTGGGGAAAAAAGGAAAGAAAGGGGCTGAGCTCCAAGGAGGAAATTGGTTCTTCATTTCCATTTTGAGCATAAGGGCCTGGGAGACTCCAGGCTGGAAGGACATGGGGGAATTGGTTCTTTTAGTGTCTTTTAACTGCCTCAGCTGCTGTCACACACATACATTCGCTCACTCTGCCTGCCAGACAGCCCGAGCATCCCCAGTAATCCCGTCTCATCCACCCCCTTGTGCCCGAGTCCAGCCCAACCTGTTGGTCTCCCCCAGGCTGTGGGACTGTGGGGATGCTGCATGGAAGTGCTTTAATGTTATCTTTAGACCAGCTCCCTCTTGATCTTTGCACTAACTGTGGCTCTGCAGGGGCTGGGGGAGCACACAGCTCCTCTCCTCGGAGACCACAGAAACCTGAGGCTGAATGTGAAATTTCAGTAAGTTTGGGGGAAAAGGAAAAAATTTAGGAGTCTGGGGATTCTCTATGGATAGCAATGTGCTTTCCCCATGGTTTGTTGTATTCCTCTGCTTCCCCACTGTCAGCTCAGCCAGTGCTGTACGACTTGCCCTAATTTAGCAGATATGCTGATGCCTCCCTTCCCCCTGCTCTTCGATGCAGAAGGAGAAATAAAGTGGCTGGGAGCGACTCTGCAGCGTGTGCGCTCCATGTGCCGGATCCCTCCTCACCCTCTGTGCTGAGTGTTGTTGAAGTGGGCAACATCCAACTTAAAATATGGGAGCCTCGGTGCTGCCCAAATCCTGTTTGGGAGAGGGCTGTGGATGCAAACTGTTCGTGGCTCTCAGTAGCACAAGTGTTGACATGACCCTTCTAAGTGACACCAGCCAAGGAGACACCCGGTGTCCCCAGACAAAGAGCTGTGCCTATGGAGTAGAGGGAGGGATGGAGGCTGCATTTCCCTTCAAGCTTCCACAGGAAAGGCGCCTGAGCAAGGAGGGAGGGGAAGAGAAGAGAGACCATATGGTGGGAAGGGAGCGGGAGCTGAGTGCCAGCAGTGCTCGGTGGAGGGGGGCTCGGAGCGGTGGGGCGTGGTGTGCAGGGGCACCCGCCCGGGAGCTGCCGAGATCAGCAGCAGCTCAGCAATAATTCTGCTAGCTCCGTGCCACTGGGGAAACCTGGGAAACAAATCCTGATCCAAGAGCTGTGCGGGTTGTCTATGACTGAAAGAGTCTGAGAAACACACTGCAGGGTATTCCCCTGTGGCAGGATCCTGTGGCAACGCTGGCACAGGCAGATGTGTGCTGCATGGGGCTGCTGTGGAGCTAAGCACTGCAGCTCAGCAATAATTCTGCTAGCTCCGTGCCACTGGGGAAACCTGGGAAACAAATCCTGATCCAAGAGCTGTGCGGGTTGTCTATGACTGAAAGAGTCTGAGAAACACACTGCAGGGTATTCCCCTGTGGCAGGATCCTGTGGCAACGCTGGCACAGGCAGATGTGTGCTGCATGGGGCTGCTGTGGAGCTAAGCACTTGCAATGAGGCTCACAGAGGGTTTGGAGCCATTGCTGCTGTACCAGGGCTGACCTGCATCTGTTGACAAGAACAGACCATGCTCGGAAGGGTTTTTTACCCCCAGCATCTCCTGGCTGTGGTTTCGGGGGTGCTGGGCAGAGGAGGTTTTGGCTGCTCTCTGCATGCTGGTGATCCGATGGATATTCAGATGGTCCCCACAAACACAGCTTCTGGAGGAAGCCACCATCTGGAGCAGCCACTTTGGGCTTTCCCCCATTGCCTCTCTTGCATCAAGGGATTCATTTGTTCAGGCTGTGAGAGAACATGCTGCTGCCCCAAGCACAGGTGAGAGGGATGCTGTGCTTTGCTCCCCACCTTTACACCAACCCAGTCCCCACCCTGTGAGACAGGCAGGAGGTGGTGGAAGTCCTTTGACTTGTGGTGCCAAAAAGCAGAGTAAAGTTTATGGTGCATGTATTTGCAGGTCCTTTTCAGGTAAGCATCTATGAAGGAATTACTTATAGCCCCTTCTTAACTGTGGAAGGGCTGCTCCTGCATATGATGAATATGATGCATATGGTGCTACTGCAGATGATGAATTCACCTGGTTCAGAGCAGGGAGGAGCTGCTCGCAGAGCTCTGGTGTGGAGGTCTCTGGAGGAAGTTCAGGGTGTTTGTTAGCTGATGGATGGGGTAGGTTGAGAGTTAAGAACTGATGTTTAATGCTGTTGATGTTTGATTTAATTGCATTTGCTGTCTGCTCCATTACACACGGGTGCTTAGAGTCAAGGGGCAGGTGCAATTATTCCTTTCAAAATCTAAATAAATGATGCTGTGCTGGTTTATCCTAGGGTAGGGTGTGCTTGCCATTCATTTATTTTTCTTCTTAGTTGCAAGGGATTGTGATGTCTGGGTATATTACAATGAAGATCAGCTTTTGTGTATCACTTACTGCTGCTCCATGAGAGGTGAAGGAGGCATTCTATGTACTTAGCCCTTATAAGCCTTTGCAACAGAATGTGCTGGGGTGCAAAGAAGCCAGTGGCATCTGACAGCATCTTGCAAGCAACCTGGAAGTGCCTTTTCAACATGCCCATTCCATGGATGATAGCGTTTCCCACGGCAAGGCAGAGCTTTTGGAGAGCCACCAGTGTTACTGCTGAGGTGTGGCTTCTCCATCCCTTTTACACTGGATAACTCCAATGTTGCTATCCAGTTCAGCTTTGCACTTGATGTTCTGTGTGTTTCTCATGGGGACCTGCCTTTTTGGTGTACTGCAAAGGCAGGGTTTGCTTTGCAGAGCAGCCCAATGCAGCAAGGGGGAAAGATGCTCCTGGCAGGGCTGGTGGGAGCAGGCGAGGGGTGTGCGTGAG